GTTCAAGTGGTAGAGTGCTAGCCTTGAGCTGAAGAGCTGAGGGACAGCGCCCAGGCCCAGAGTTCAGGCCCCATGACCAAAAAATAAATAAATAAACAAATAAATAAAAATAAAAAAGGGCTCATGGCGTGGCTCAGTTGGTAGAACACTAGCTAGTGAGCAAAAATGGCAGGTACCAAGGTTGAATCCCTGTCTTATACCTAACCCTCCTCCCCCATTCTCGCTCTGTCTCTCTCTATACAACTGCCTGCCACCAATGGGTAACAGCTGTCATCCTAGCTACTCAGGAGGCTGAGATAAGAGGATCTCGGTTTGAAGCCAGCCAGGGCAGGAAAGTCCGGGAGACTTTTTTTTTGTTTTGGTCGTGGGACCTGAACTCTGGACCTGGGCGCTGTCCCTCAGCTCTTCAGCTCAAGGCTAGCTTTCTACCACTTGAGCCATAGCGCCACTTCTGGCTTTTTCTGCTTATGTGGTGCTGAGGAATCAAACCCAGGGCCTCAGGCATGCAAGGCAAGCGCACTACCACTGAGCCACCTGCCCCGCCCCTCTGGGAGACTCTTATCTCCAATGAACCACCAGTAGGGCAGAAGTGGCACTGTGGCTCCAGTGTGAGAGTACCAGCCTTGAGCAAGAGCTCAGGGACAACGTCCAGACCCTGAGTTCAAGCTTCAGGACTGGCGCTATGCACGCAGGTGTGCACAGCCTCCTCCCTCCTGCCCCCGCCATGCCCCCCCCATCCCACACACAGTTTCCAAATTAGATCACGCCCTAAAATCCCACATGGACCTAAGTTTTGGGGAAATACAAAAAACATGTTGGGCATACACAGCTTAGGCCCCACCTAGTGAGGCAAAAGGGGAGGCAATCTGGGGTGCGCAACCCTGTCTCCATGTGGGCAGGGGTGGCCTGCGGGGCTGGGCTGGGCTGTGGGGTGATGGCTGCATCTTCTGCCCACACAGAACCGCATGAAGGAGAGCCTGGCACTGTTCCGCACCATCCTTGAGCTCCCTTGGTTCCGGAGTACTTCCATCATTCTCTTCCTCAACAAAACTGACATCCTGGAGGAGAAAATCCCCACCTCCCACCTGGCCACCTACTTCCCCAGCTTCCAGGGTGAGTGATTCTAGAATATTCTAGAACTTTCCCCGTCCTAAAATCAGCTCCCCAGAGATCAGCTTAACCCAGGCTTTGCCTCGATGTCACTACAAGTCCCAACTAGAATGAGTCTGGAGGTTCCAGGGTTTGCCCACTCTGATGCCCAGCCTCACCGAACCTCAGTTTCCCCCTGTCTCTAACAGAGATGAAACAAGAAGAGACCACCAGGTGTCGGTGGCTCACACCTGTAATCCTAGCTTCTCAAGAGGCTGAGATAGGAGGATCATGGTTTGAAGCTAGCCCAGGCAAGAAAGTCTGTAAAACTCTCTAATAAACTGCTCAGAAAAGACTGGAAGAGGCGCTGTGGCTCAAGTGGTAGAGTGCTCGCCTTGAACACAAGCTCAAGGACAGTGCCCAAGTCCCAGGACCAACACACACACACACACACACACACACACAAACACACAAACAAATGTACCCTTGGCACAAGTAGGTTTAGGGCCCACTAGGGACGGACACAGCTCAGTGTTGAGCACTCTGGGGAGGAGGGAGCTCAGTAAAGAAGGTGCACACTTCTAGCACTTTCTCCATTTCTCCACTCTCCAGAACAAAATGAGGTTGTCCCTGTATCCTGTTTGCCTATTGTTAAAGAGCAAATTAAACTTAGGATGCTCACACTTAGTGGCTTAAGACTAGCCAGGTTTGATTTTGGTTCATGATTTTGTGCATCAGGAATTTGGGAAAAGGCAGGGGTCGGGCAATCTGTCCCACCCATGTGGCATAAGCTGAGGTGGTTGGGGCTGGAGAGAGCCTTCCAAGATGGTGCCTTCCTTCATAGATCTGGTGCCCTGAGTGCCTCCTGTGCTGTCCCCTCTCTCCCCTTAAATCCTCATGCACCTGGGGCTTCCTCACAATATGGCTGACCCAGCAGAAGGCTGCCTATCAAGACCCTGCCAGTCGGAAATGTCAAAATGTTCCTTACATTCCATTCTAGTGGTCCAACAAGTTGCTGAAGCCAAGAGTCAAGAGACAATCACTGCCTCTTTTTGTTGCTGTTGATCAAGGGGCTTGAACTCAGAGCCTGGGTGCTGTCCCGGTGCTTTTTCACTCTAGGCTGGTGCTCTACCAGTTTGAGCCACAGCACCACATCTGGTGTTTTGGTGGTTCATTGGAGATAACAGTGTCACAGACTTTCCTGCCCTAGCTGGCTCAAACCACGATCTTCAGATCTCAGCCTCCTGAGTAGCTAGGATGACAGGTGTGAATCACTGGCACCCAGCTTCACTGCCTCTTAAAGAAGGAATAGAATCAGCACATGGGAAGAAGGGAGCCATCTTGGAGACAAGTTCTCTTCCTTCTCAGAGATACTGAAATGAAGGACAGTTGACTGGGCCCTGGAGGGCTTGACAACAAAAACGGATTCCCTTATAGTTCAGAAGATGTGAGTTTTGAAATCAAGGTATTGGCAGGGTCATTTTCTCTTGGAGGCTCTGAGGGTCAAACATTCTGTCTCTTTAGAACAACTGTGATGGTATTCCTTGGCTTGTAGACATGTTTCATCTTGCCCATTGTAGCTGGGATGACAAACATGAACTATCACGCCCAGCTTCTTTGAGATGGGGTGTCTCAAACTTCCTTGCCTGGGCTGGACTGAAACTGCACTTCCTGGTAGCTAGAATTACAGGCATGAGCCATGAGCACTTGCTTGTGTCCTCTCATCTTGTATGGATACCAGTGTTTCATGGTTCCCATTAAGCCAGTGTGACTTCATTTTAACTCACCTAACTGCATCTGCAAATACTCTACTCTCAAATGAGCTCAGAGTCTGAGGTTCTCAGGGGATTGGGATTTTGGAGGAATTTAAATTTATTTATTTGTTGTTTACTTTTGTTGGTGGTTGGGCTTGAACTCAGGGCCGGAGTGCTGTCCCTGAGTTCTTTTGCTCAAGGTGAGCACTCCACCATTTTGAGACATAGCACCACTCTCAGTTTCCTGTTGCTTCACTGGAAATAAGAGGCTCGAGGAACCTTCCTGCCTGGGCTGACTCTGAACCTCGATCCTCAGATCTCAGCCTCCTGAGTAGCTAGGATTACAGGTGTGAGCCACTGGAACCTGGCTAGGAATTTTTAGTTTTAAGCCACAGCACACAGTGAAACCCAATAGGTAAAAGCCAGATCCTGGTGTCTCACATTTGTAATCTTAACTAATTGGAAGGCTGAGATCTGAGGATCACAGTTCAAAGCTATCCCAGGCAGATCAATCTGAGACTCTCATCTCTAATTACACAGCAAATAGTCAGAAGTGGGGCTCAAGTGATAACAGTGCTGGTCATGGGTAAAAATGCAGAGCAAAAGCGCAAAGCCCTGAGTTTAAGCCCAGATACCTGGAAAAACTAAATAAAATTAAAAACCTTCCTAGGTGGAGCCTAAAGCTTGTTGGTCGTCAGGTCAAAGGTCAGACAACCTGAGCTTTGCTAAAGCCTGTGGGACCCCTAGGTCTGTCCCATCCCGGGGGGCTTTGAAGCTGATCTACCGATGTGCATAAGGCGGGGGAACGGAGAGGCCCAGGTCACCTTGCTCTTGGCTGGGACCCTCCTCTCGCGGGTCCTGGCCCCGCAGGCACAGGAACCAGACTCTGTCTTCAGAGAATTCTAGAAACAGAGTAAGACTGACAACTCTAGAAGCCTTTTCCTTCTCCCTTCCCCCTCCAGCAGACTGGGGGCCCCCGATGCCCCCCATTCCCTGCTCTCCCTCCTCCCGTCCCGCGGTGCCCTCAGCCTCCATTCCCCAGGCGCCAAGCGCGCGGACCACCAGAGCTCAGTCTCATTGGTCCCTTTCAGGTCACGTGGCCTCGGGAGGGGCACGCCTCAGGGCTCCCATTGGCTGAGCCCGAGTCAGGGGACCGGAAGTGATGGACGGGTCCTCCCTGCCGGCTGGCAGGGGAGCGACCCCGGCCCCCATCTCCCCTTCTTGCTCTTCCTTTTCTCCCCCAGGCCCCAAGCAGGACGCGGAGGCGGCCAAGCGGTTCATCCTGGACCTGTACACGCGGATGTACACGGGCTGCGCCGACGGCCCCGAGGGCGCCAAGAAGGGGTCGCGCGCCCGCCGCCTCTTCAGCCACTACACCTGCGCCACGGACACGCAGAACATCCGCACGGTCTTCAAGGACGTGCGGGACTCGGTGCTGGCGCGCTACCTGGACGAGATCAACCTGCTGTGACCCGGGCCGGACCCGGAGGCCGAGGCCCCGCAGCCGCGGCCAGGCGTGGGG